GCTATTTAAATCGCTTTTCATTTATTTTAAAGTCATTAGCTATAATTGAAACCAAAACCATTGAAATAGAGTGTTTAGGAATTTTTCTTTTCTTTTTCGTGATCGAATAATCGTACAATTGAATTCGGCTAACCTTCCTTGCGATACGATCGGGGGAACGTATCTTTCGATTCTACTTCGGTAAAAATACTGACAACAAAATTGGCGCCTGATATAGGATATTATACCTACCAGGCTAAACCGGTCTGCTGAACCAGACGAGGAGGTCATATCATGAAGGAACCGAACCAAGTGGCGGGAAGATCGAGCAGCTAACCTGTCGACCAGTGAAGTAGTCGACCAACCCATCACTCGACCAGATGAGTGATCGAGCAACCCAGTCGACCTCAACAAGTCGATCATCTTCGAAGACTTAACACTACACTGATCGGCCTAGACATAGGCGCGTGAGAGAGCCTCTAACCGAATTTCAGGAGAATATTTATCCCATGTGCAAGGGGACACGTGTCGAGAACGTAGTGGTTGATAACAATAACCGCCTCTAACAGCATACCCCATGTGTGCAGGAGGACACGCGTCCAAAGAGTATTGGTGCAGACGATAGTGGCGACGGCTACTTCTGACACACGCGTATTGTGTGTGCACGGACGGGCAGTTAGGGCAGACTGCTCACCAAATCTGGGCAGCCCTAGGTCAGGTATCTCACCCCTATATAAAGGGGGTGAGCATTTCTTCTTGGATACGATTTCTCTATTATTCACTTCAGTATACTCAAACACATACTGACTTAGGCATCAGAGGCTCTTCACCAGAGACAACCCCCGGTGTGAGAGTTGTTTGCAGGTTTCCAGCGTTCTACCGGCGAGCACAAGAATCGATCTACCCCAAACCAGACCAGGACGTTCACGCCTGCATTATTGGCGCCGTCTGCGGGAATTTTCGTTTGAGAAGTTGTGTTTGCAGCTCGACTATGGCGGACGGAATTCCCAAAAACTTGCAGTCGACGTTCGACGACGCTTGGATGACGACCAGGCTGATTGGGCAAGGCCCTCCTCCGGGTTTTTCTGGCCCATCGCAAACGCCGATCACTCCTACGCCTGTCCTTCAAGGTGTGGGAGCGACGACAGCGGTTCCCGGAGGAGATGCCAGCTCCAGTCGTGCTCAAGAGGCTCGCGCAGCAGCTGCGGCGGTGATGCCACCGCCGCCGCCGCCCCAAAATCCCATGGTGGTGCAACCAGGAGGAGCGATGGTACAAGGAAGAATGACGACACAAGCAGGGGCACCACAACAAGCCTTTGCACAAGCTCCTGGTCAACCAATGGTGACGATGACTAGGAAGGAGATGCAGAGGATAGGGGCAGCTGCGGCGGCGCAGGCGGTGCAGCAAGTCACAAGCCACACGTCTCACGCCACCACTGCGCCGACCACAACAGTAGAAGGCCAGGACGAAGATGTGTCCAGTTATGGAGATGGAGGAAGTGGAAGAGATCGTGCGATGGAGAGGATGGCGGAACAGTTGCGCCAGTTGCAGGATAAGGTTGAGTGGAGGCCGAGAGGAGAGCTCGAGGACATCCTTTCTCCAGGGAGATTCTCGTAGCTCCCTTACCGTATAACTTCAAGGAGACTAATCTGGTGTATGACGGGTCATCTGACCCATCGAGGCATGTGAGTACCTTTGAGAACATGGTTGTATTACATGGGTATTCTGATTCTGTATGTTGCAGGGCATTTCAATCGACCTTACGGGGAAAAGCACTTGACTGGTTTAATCAATTACCCCCTGGGTCGATCGCAAACTTTGAGGATTTTGCCAGCAAGCTTACCAACCAATATTCGAGCGCGGTGGCGCAGGAGAAGACATATTTGACACTGATGGCGATGAGGCAGGGAGAGAATGCGTCGTTGAGGAAGTATGTTGCTCGATATAATCAAATATGTTTGGAGGTGCACTCCGCGTTTGATGAGGTTAAAGCAGGAGGATTGATAAGGAGTCTTCGAGCGGGGCCTTGTCGAACCTCCCTGGCAAAGACCCTGCTCGATCATATGAGGATGTTTTAAAGCGATGCAGGAAGTACATTAATCTGGAGGAGATAGAGATGGAGTTTGCAAAGTTGGAGGGGGCGGCTCGACCGGAGCCAAAGAAGGAGAAGAGCCCACCAAGGGGAAGGTCGCCGAGGAGGAATTCTCCCAAGAGGAGTGGGCCGAAGAGAGCATCGCCCAGGAGAGAAGGTCGAGATTTGAAATAGGAGAAAAGGGATGAGTGGCAGAGGAGGCCATTGACGTTCGAGAGACAGAGGTATCATAGTTTTACACCCTTGAGGAAAGATTTAACAGAGGTGCTTGAGGCTATGGAGCAAAAGATGTCGA